TTATTAAATGAATGTATGTTTTGTCATTTTGGAGTTTAAAATTCAAAACGCATTGAATTTTATTTATGAGTTGAGAATCTTTTTATTTCATGATGCAAATTTTGGGATCATGCATGATTAATTTATTTTGTTAATTCATTATTTTTAGTTGATGCGTTTGATATGCATGTATGATGTCAACTCAAGTTATTTCTTAACAAAAATTTCATGTGATTTGGAATGTTAAATTGATATGTTGATTAATTTGAGTTTTTCCAATCAATTTTGAATGGGTGTTTAAACACCAAAGAAATTTAAATATGAAGATGTATGTAGTTATATCGTTCCATTTAATTGGAAGTAAATTTAAGAAATGTTTTATTATTAGTTTATTTGAATTATGTGACATGAGATGTCATTAATAATTATTTTACTTGCGTAGTAGAATTTGTTAAACCATGAACCATTTTATTATTATGGGGGTGTATCTCTTGCATTAGTTGAGATAATTTAATTTTCTTTTGTCACAAATATTTTTATGACAGTGACATTTATTTGTTATTGAGTTGCAAGAATGTATACAATGAAATGGGTTTTTGAATTGTTTGATTCTTAGGCAAATTTTTTATGAGGATATGATTTTGTCAAAACATTAATTCTGACTTGAGTAGTCATAATTATTTTAATTTTTTCTTGAATTTGTTTTGAAATTCATTGATTTATATCTGAAGTAATAGGTGTGGTGAATATGATGCACCTTTAGATGAATTTTGTGCACAACATGGCATTATTCACCAAACTACAGCACCCTATTCTCCACAGCAAAATGGAATTGCTGAAAGGAAGAATAGAACCCTAAAAGAAATGATGAATGCCATATTACTAAGTTCAGGCTTACCACAGAACTTGTGTGGGGAAGCAATATTGTCTGTTAATTATGTTTTTAACAGAATACCCCACAAGAAAACAAACAGCACTCCTTATGAATTGTGGAAAGGTCGACCGCCTTCCTACCAATACTTAAAAGTGTGGGAGTGTTTGGAAAAAGTTGAAGTTCCTGTTCCTAAAAAGACTAAAATTGGACCAAAAACAGTAGATTGTGTGTTTATTGGTTATGCTCAGAATAGTAGTGCATATCGGTTTCTGACTTATAAATCAGAAATACCTGATATAGATGTGAACACTATTATAGAGTCAATGAATGTTGTATTTTTTGAACATGTCTTTCCTTACAAGAAAGGGCAGGAATTAAGTTCATAGAAAAGAACCTATGATTGTACACAAAGTCAAGAGACTAGTAATGGTCTCGACCAACAGGATTTAACTAATGATGAACCAAGACGAAGTAAGAGAGCGAGAACATCAAAATCCTTTGGTCCAGATTTTCTGACATACCTGTTAGAAACTGAACCTCAAAGCTTTAAGGCAGCAATGACAGGTCCTGAAGTACCTTTGTGAAAAGAGGCTGTTAAGAATCCATTATGCAAAATCATACATGGAAATTGGTGGACCTTCCACCAGGTTCTAAACCTCTTGGATATAAATGGATATTCAAGAGAAAAATGAAAGCAGATGGTTCAATTGACAAGTATAAAGCAAGACTTGTAGTTAAAGATTACAGACAAAAGGAAGGTCTGGACTATTTTGACACATATTCCCCTGTGACAAGAATAACATCCATTTGTATGCTTATTTCTATAGCAGCATTGTTTAATTTAGAAATACATCAAATGGATGTTAAGACATATACAAGTTCATAAACATGTAATTCACACATTTAAACATGTCATTTCACATCAAGCACATAAGCACACATATAATCACACACATAATTAGGGAATTAAAGCATATGAGAGAGTCGGGTTCTTACACACACACACACACACACACTCTCTCTCTCTCTCTCTCTCTCTCTCTTTGCTACATCAATGGCTTTTGAGATCGAGTTGGAGAAGGAATCCACGGCAGCAAATGTAAAATCCTAATTCTACATGTCCACTCGAGCAGTAGAGTTACCGCTTGAGCAATGAATTGAGATTCCCAGTATTTCTTTCTGCAATCTGAGTGTTGAAGGAGACCGCTCGAGCGATTACTTGATTGCTCAAGTGAAGGTGCGTGGCCACCAGTAATTTCATTTTAGACCTGAAATTTTTCTGGAAGCTCGCGTTCACTGCTCGAGCGGTGAAAAGATCGCTTGAGTGGTCTGTTCGAAGCAACCAATGTAAAAATCAATTTTTGCTTAATTCTTTCTCACTTTTTCATATCCTCTCTTTCTCTAACACCCATTTCCGAAAACCCTAGCCAAAAAACACTTGATTTCTCTCATTTACTAAAGATCCACCTTAAATCTTTTAAGAAAATTGAAGAGCAAGCTTGGTTCAAGATTTCTACTGATTGTTTCGCATTTCTTTGAAGTTTCTTGTTAGGTCCTAGCTCTCATTTTCAAGGTAGGGTTACTTTTAACTGAGTATGGCTATGATTTGAGATATATATGTGGTATTTTTCTAGTTATAGTGATGTATGAGATGATTTTGTGATATTAAGTGGGTTTGATAAACAAAAGGGACTTATGCCTAATGTTTTTTTAGAAAGATCATGAATATTCTTGTTGATTATTGTTGTTGTTGATGAAATAGACTCTTTAACTGTAAAAGAGGGAAAAGTCTAAATTTTCTCAAAATTCCTAGTTTTCAAACTTGATTTAACAATGGTGCTTGGTTCAATTGACTCTTAAATCTTGGAATTGGGTAAATGTTATGGCAAAGGTGTTGAGACTTGGGAGTTTTGAACCTTCTTGGATATATTTATTGTGATAGATGAATGTTGAGATTGTGGAATTGAGAGGTTGGAGAACTCCATTGTTATTGATATTGTTAAATCTTTTTTATGAATTAAATAAACCCTAGGGAAATTGGACTTGAAAATTCATGTATCATGTGCATCATAATTCTCTCATGTGATCTTACAATCTTGTGAACCAGAACATAAGCACTAGCAGATGAGAAATTCCCATCTACTGAGCCTTTCCAGTTAGGTTCATCAGGCTCAAGAGAGGTTAGAGAAGGCCTGTTCAGGATGATAGATGCGAATGCAGGAGGCAACAATTCACAGATAACAGTTTTATTCCAGCTTCCTTGCTCAGAAAGCAGGATGTTCACATTAACATCACTCTCCCAAATGGGAGCAGATTGTGAGCTACTGAGGGTGAGTTCCTCAAAAGCCTTATCTCCACACCACCAGTCCTTCCAACAATTAACAGTGGCACCATTACCAACTGTCCATTTAACCCCTTTCCTCAAGATGGCTCTAGAGTTAAGAATGCCTCTCCAGGTATGAGAGGCTTTCTTACCTCTAGAACAAGCCTGAAGACAATTATTCCTCATATACTTACACTTAAGAACCTCTTTCCAAAGACCATTCTCATGACTAATCATTTTCCAGCCAAGTTTAGACAGCAAGGCAAGATTTTGATCCTTGGCTTTCTTAACGCCAAGCCCACCATTCCTTTTCGGCTGACAGACAACATCCCAATTGACCAAGTGAATTTTCTTATTCTCTAGGGTATCACCCTAGAGAAAATTTCTATTCATTTTATCAATATCATTGCAAACCCTTTTAGGAAAAGCCACAGTCTGCATAGTATAAGCAGGAAGAGTAGAGCTAATAGATTGGATTAAAGTAGTTCTACCAGCTAGTGGTAAAGCACTAGTTTTCCACCCAGCAAGTTTCATTTGCATTTTATTTAGAATGCCATTATAGTGTCTCCAACTCACTCTACCATGAATGAGAGGAACCCCCAAATATTTTCCTAAATCAGAAGTTAAAGGAACGCCACAAAAACAACTTCAGAACTGTAATCCAGCCTTTCTCTTGCCTATTTATACTTCTGGTGTCTTTCCAAACAGGTTTAAAACATCTGGCACGTTTTCCCAGAAAAAGTCAACGCACGTGCGGGAAAGTCAATGCATGTGCGAAAAAGTCAACGCACGTGCGGGAAAGTCAATTCTCTCCAAATTCTGTCTTTTTGCCCATTTTATGCTCTGACTATGTATAACCTGATTGACATTCAACACACATAAAGTGTACAATTTGACAGTCAAGTGAAGTTAAGAGATCCTACTTAACGGCCTCATTGATGTACAATTCGGCCTTAATTACAGAGCATCAGCACAAAGGTTGCCTTCTTTATACACATGCTGCACAGTACATTCACAACCTCTCATGATAGAGTGTAAACACTTAGTGTGTTCGTAAGGCAAACAATTTGTAGTGCTGCTATTGTTTGTGGTAAGATCATTTCATCCTGGGAGATAGACGTCCAAATTCTTAAAGCACCGTGGAGAGGACGAATCTGTCTTAAGGACACAGTGTCAAACACTGGACTTGATCTGATAATTATTTAAAGAAATTAATCAAGTAAGTTGTTTAATTTATTATTCTGTTTTATTTATTTAAATCAGATTTTAATTTTGTTTTTTGTAACAAAATAAAATTTATTTTTATTTATTTATTTTTATTTCAATT